TATTTTTCCTACACAGTTTTATCTACTTTTTCATCTAGTGAGTGAAAAGCTATTATTAGATTTTTATACATAATACAATTTAATAGAAGAAAAAAAAAAAGTATTAAAAAAAATATAAAAGACATCAGAAAGTTATTCACATTTTTAAAATATTTTTTCTCTATCCATGTACCAGAATCCAAACTATTCAAACCTAAAAATTCTAAGTGATAATTAAATATTGTTTTCATATTACATTTAAGAGTGTTTCTTGAAGATGAGTTTTGAGCCCTGACAAAAATTGTCTGTGTGACAGTGGGACATGCCACGTGTGGTTTGGTCCTGCAGTTGCCACGGAACGTGCGCTTCTGTGTACATGACAACTCAGATGATCACACAGTTGGTGCGGTGAACTATTCACGTCTGTCCCCAGACTCTAATGCATCATACTGTGGTGATCTGGCCATCTTATTTTTCATATGAGTTCTTTAGGGGGAAACCCTTTCTTTTATTTCTGTACATAAAAAGAAGCCATCTGCAGCAAGTACATTTGGGCCCAGCTATGAATTCCATAATCCATAATTTAAAATTTACCACAGTTTAAAACACCCACCTTGATGCCAGTTTAAAAAAAAGGTCAGAGGGAAGGGGGGAAGAAAGCACAAACCCGGCTGTTTCTCAGAAGTGTAAGGAATTTATTTTGCTCCTTACCTTCATTATCAATGATCATGTTTAGTTGATCTGGGTTTGCTTTTTTTTTTTCCAGCCTGTTTGCTTTCTCATTCTCATGCCCTAGAGCATTTCAGTTTTAGTCACTGCATGACATAGCTTAAATCGGAGTTGGAACGAAGTCATGAAGCGAACAGTGAGCTAGTCTTCTCCAAAATTCATGGGAGTAAACTGCATTCATGATTGTTAGCATATATTGATAAATAAATACTGACCAGTGTGAAATTAAATTCACCTTAACTTAGTTCTGGGGTTTTTAAATTTAGTTTTATCAAGTTAATTGTTTATTAGCGTTGATTGCAAATGTGTTATTCATGCCTCTATTCCCAAGTATCCGGCCTTTGAGTTTCAGTGAGTAAAGTGGTTTGGAAAGAATCCAGATCAGTTCATGCAGAGGCTAAGCATGTTAGTAGAAAACTACTTGCCAAGTCAGAGCATGGATTTTGTATGTGATTTTGCCCTACAAAAGATTGTGTGTGTATACGTGTGTATATACATTTGTGTATATGCAGATACACAATTACATTGGTTTAAAATTTTTAGCAGTTTACTGTCTTGCATGATTCTTTGTTTCACAGCATCATAGGTATTTTATAAAAAATTCCAGGTTTCCTTGTCCTCTAGGGAAACACAGTTTACTTTCTAAGTAATGGTTTCCAAAGTATGCACAGTTGTCTACTGTTTTGTGGCAGATAATCTATAAAATAAAATATATTAAAATTCTTTCATGCATTCCATTTTTAACTGTCTTTAGAAGATATTAATTTAAATACCTGTAATTTTATTTAGCTAGACTAGACTGATATTACTCTAAATTCATCCTGAGATAGGTGAAAGACACAAACTGCTCAAAAAATAAATTGTTTACCTGTGTACAAGTTCTATGCAATTGAATTACAACATAGAAAGCATACCAGTTTTGGATGTGGTGTTAATGTTCTGAAGTTGATGGATTAGAGCAGTGTTCACCTTCTGCTTCTTTCTTCAAGAGGAGTTTAAGCTTCTTGTGTTCTCCTTTTGCATATGCTTGCATTCTAAGGATTCTAAGCATAATGAGTAGTTCAAACAGTACTGTAACTTTTATACATAAAATGCCATTTAAAGCAGCTCGCTACAGTACACTGATGTCTTTGAAATGCTGTGTAATTTGTTTTCACTTTGAAGTATTGTGCAATGCAGTTATGTCATGTTGCACCAATTGGTACCCGTAAGGTTGTAAGGTGACCCTGGCCAGGCTCTGCTGGCAGGTTATGTCTTGTTTCAGCCCTGGTGAGGGACACTCAGCATGCACCTCCTTACAGGCATGGACCCAACCTCTCTGGCCATGCTCTGTGTGGGCAGAGTGGGTGGATGGCTGCATGACTTTCATGGCAGATGTGCAGGTAGTGTCCTTTTGGTGAAAAATAGAAACTGTTCAGCCACCTTGCTGTATGATGTGCATATTGTTGACCACCACAGGGTGAGGTGGTATCGTATGTGCTATTGCCAAGCTCTGAAGCCTTTCCCAGGTGCAAGGCACCTGGTAGGGCATGGGCTGCAGCGGTGTTCTTGTGTTGTGTGGCTCCATTTGAGTGCAGACTGTCCTTTGCAGTGAGCCACAAGCATATCTCAGGAGGGAGAAGGGTGCAGACCCAGTGTGTGGCATCCCTCTTCCTGGGCCAGATGGCCTCAGCAGCAACTGCTCACAGAACTCGACACAGCTGGGTGCTTGATAAATCTGCTGGGTCCCAGAGTCGAGGTAGGGGCCACCGAGCTGTGACAAGGCCTGCTCAGATGTCAGAGGCCATGTGGCAGAAATTCACTGTTGAGAAGAGAAGGGCTCTCCCTCTCCGCACTTGGTACTAATCATGGAAAACAATGCTGGCTGCTTTGCAAAATATTAGTAGTGCTGTACAAAATCTGGGCCTCTGCTTATGGCTCTCTGAGTCAGACTTGTTTACTTCATTGAAATATTAATCTCTGTCTCTGATCAGCAATCAACAACTCCAGGCTCCAGGCTTAATAGAATTGCAAACTGTAGATTATGCAGTGTTGCTGAAAATATGAAGCTTCTCTTGCACTTTGAATGATGTGTTCTCCCTCACTCCCCTTTGGTCTGTTTTTCAGGGCTGAGGTTATGATAGATAATTAATTCCTCCATCCCAAGCCCTGTCTTTTAATTTAAGAATTTTTTTTAGCATCTGGCAGAATCTTCTGCATGCACTCCTGAGAGGTTAAGCAATGAAAGAGCCATTAAATTAACTTCAGCCATTAATTTTTTTTCAGTAGGATGAAATAGCACTTCAGTATATCAAACAGTTTCTGATTTATTTTATTTTATACCATGAAAAAGAAAATAAATGTGGGAAGAAGAGCCTGGTTTTCTGGTTGCATGAGAGGATGGTGAATTAGGACGCCTGTCTTCTGGCCCTGCAGCTTGCCTTTGTGTTAGCAAGAAGTAGGACGTGAGGAATGGATCAGTGGAGTGAAACAGCTATTGTCAAGGGCCTCGTGTCCACACTGCGCAAGTGGGAAGAGAGAGGGGAGAGGTTTAGCTATACCTAGCTAATACATCACTTTCCTCAGAAATATTTTGCTATTGCCTGTAAATTCTTTTGTGAGAAAAAGGCAGTGTCAAGCTCTGTTACACTGTTCTTTGATGTGTTTTGAGGTCCATAAATGCTGTCATCGGTGAGTCACTCCTGGCCGGGGCTCTGATTGCTCTCTTGCTAAGCAATCTGCCCAGTTCTCCATGCTATGTGCTTGTCACTCCCAAGAAAGCCATGTGCTCTTTTCACAGGCATAACTTCCCTGTTTGTAAAACTGTGCATCTTAGAATTTCTAATACATGAAAACAAATTAGTACAAAATCTCCTGAAATGGTCTCTTTAGCAAGCTTCACATACACCTGCTGAAAAGTCCCAATTAGTAGCAGCAGGACTGAGCTTGTGTGTCAGAAACACAGAAAAGGAAAAACTAATCAGTCTTGGAGCATCTTGAATTAGTGATTCCACATAGAATTTATGGTGATTTACAGTACACCAGCTATGAGGCTGAAATGTCACTACTGAATTGAAAGTTCAGTTGCCTCCTGCCTTTCTTCTACTTCTGTGTGCCTCCAGTCTCACTGTTCTTCTAGTAGAGTTTTAAGATACTTAGTCTTTTGCAATTGTACCATAGCTGTCAATTCACAAACTTCACAACTTTACTGCTTTTCTCAGTAGACTGTTTACTGTCAATATATTGTCCTTCAAGACAGAAGTTAGTTGGAGCTGCTAAATGTCAGGAACTTCTAGAGAAACTCAAAGATGCATTTATGGATCAACCCTCTTGAGCATGCACTGGAAGCCCAGTGCCACAGCTGTGTTATATTGCCTATGTGTATGATGAATAGACTGCACCTATGAAGGCAGTTTTCCTGGGCCACGGTTGGTTTGCAGTCCATCATTTACAGATTAATTATATATATATATATATATATACACACATATATATATATACACATATATATGCATATATATATAAGGGGGTGTAAGATTTGCCAGTGTTATAAGCTACTTGTTGGTACTATTTCTGCTCACGCATTGCTTTAGTTAATAATTCTTCCTAAATTATATATGCAAAGTAGGCATATATTTCAATTCTAAGAGAAAGTAAGGACCATCTCAATTGGTCATACAAGTCTGTAGAGTAATTCTTGTTATCACATCTGTCTAAATAAAATAAGGATTGGAAAAATCCACTTTTTACTTAATTTCTGTCTTGGTATAGTTGCCCAATATGCAGTTGCTTGGAGAACAATGTATTTTCCACCGTACCACAATACTATATTTTAATTGGGTGGAGATATTTTAAAGATTTCAGTATATGACTGAGATTCATTTTGTTTGTCTAAGCATAAAACATTAGTTGTTCTAGATGTCTGTGTAATTAATAGAAAGGCATCTCACAAGAGAGACTCCTCCCATCCTAAGTGATGTCTCCAAAATTATTTGGGCAGATAGCCCCTGGCCATTGACTGTCTCTGCAGGGAGCCTGAACAATTCATTCAGATGGGTTAAGTCAGCTGCAAATGGTAAAAGCTGTGAAATTAGATACGATGAAATCCCAAACTCATATGGACTGTGAGCATTATGCTTGATGATCGATCTATTCAGCGTGATTCTCTTCTTTTAAATAACTATTTCACGTTATTATTTTTCCACTATGTGGCTTTAACAAAAGTTGTGGAGAGAGTTCAGCACAGCTTTAGATACAGCTCAGCAAGTTGTTCACTTGTATTCTCTTACACGTATTGTTTTTGTCTTTTTTAGTCTTCTGGTACCAGTATCACAGTGGATATTGCTGTCATGGGAGAAGCACATGGGCTCATTACAGACCTGCTAGCAGATCCTTCGCTGCCCCCCAATGTGTGTACTTCACTGAGAACAGTGAGCAACCTGCTTAATACACAGTTAACCTTCCAGGCCATCCACAAGCCACGGGTGAACCCTTTGGTATCCTTCAGTGAGAACTACACCTGCTCTGACTCAGAGGAATGTCCGGAGAAAGGAGAGAAACTGGCTATTCCCAAGGTGAGTACTGGACCCTGTCTGTCATCCTGGAACTCTGCTCTGTAAAGGGACAGCACTGGACTGGTGAGAGATGTCACTGGACTTTTTGCTTATTGCTTCAAACTAATATTTTATGTACTGATCATACTCTACCAAAACGGACAACTAAGTAGACTGTTGGTTACATAGTGAATTCCTGTGTATCCTTGAACTCATGGCCAGTTTAACTTTCATTCATTCATTTTTAGAAAATCATATTTGACACAGGATAGCTCATGTAGATGGTGTGCATATTTTCTTGCAGGTGTTGGTTCAAGTTTAAGAGTGAAGAAATGATAAGAGAGCAGAGCAAGCAAAAGCCTTTCATCATTCAGACTCACAAGTCTGCCCCAGTACTCACAGGGAAATTCCCCTCTCACTCAAAAGATGTGAGCTATTGCATGTGCAGTGACTATCCTAGTCTATGAGCAGCAGGGAACTCAGTAGTAATATGAGGGACCTTTTTTGCCCAGTTTGAATATTGGAATTTGAAATTCTGTATGAATTTTGGTCTCTTCTTCCTTAGCTAGAGATGTGAAACCTGTAGAGGTCAATGAGAAAATTTCTACTGATGACCTCCAGGTGCTTTGGATCAAGTTTAAAATGTTGTATACCAAACAACCAAAACAAAGCAAAAGGTTACCACAGTACTTAGTATGACAAATATTGTAAATTCATGAGAAGTAGCCTTTAAGAAAGATAAGACTGAACCAACTATATATATATATAACTGCCTTGAGAGATGGCTTTATGAATGCTCAGAAATTCAACAGGAAATAACCATTGTTAATTACCCAGATTTAGGAAGTGAACAACTAAAAAGAACACATCAGCTTTGAAGCAGTTTGAATTGTAAGCTTGTTGCTAATTAGCTGTCCCACAAGGCTTGCATTTCACTTTTGAAACTAAACCAAAATACCTTGCACTGCAGTCTCCCTGGTAAAATTATATATAGGCAAAGGATGTTGCACAGGCAAATGCTTTTAACAGTTCAAATGGAACAGCCAGCATTCATTCCAGCATTTCCCAGCATCTGAATTGCAACACTTGTGATTCCTTTTTTAATATACTTTAGTGTGATTGCAATTTTTACTCTAACTATTTAGCAGCTGTATTTATCAAATGGTTTTTAATACAAGGTTTTAAGTGCATTTTCCATTTTATTTTAGTGTACATGTCTATAAGGACTGTGATCTGAGGGGAAAAGTTAAGTGGAAGAATACTGCCATCACATGAGCAAACACAGGGAACAGACACCAGTTTGCTGTTGCATAATAGTGGAGAAGAGAAAGGAAAGATGAAGAGATGAGTTAATGCTACAGAGAACTAATTTGACTGAATAATTCACTGACCTAAATGTATTATGGGTCATAAATCTAATAGTTCACAGTCCTTTATTTAAGTGTCTAAGTATAGATTTAAGGTCTTTACCTTAAGCATATGACTGAGCATTTTGGGTAAGGAGATAGCATATTTATTTGTAAGTCTGAGCTTCAGAACCACAAGTGTCTTCCATCTTACATCTCTTAACCCTCTGGCAAAGTCAAAGCTCTCCATCACAGAGACATATTTATTTTAGTTGTTAACTATAAACAATTCATGAGAACTACAAGGGAAACTGCAGCAGTAAATCCACAAAGACTCTCTGTCATCGTCCTTTATTATCTCTGCCTTGAAAAATTTGGAAAAACAATGTGAATCCTGTTAGTAGAGAAAAAAGAGAGATTGGATGAAAGAAAGCACAGGGTGGTAAAAAAAATAATAAAAATATGCTGTAAACAGTGATGCTTTCTCTAAGGTTTTCAGGAGACCTCATATCCTAGAGCATGAAAGTTTTATTTCAGTGAGTGATCTTCGGATTGGGTAGATATAGCAGGAAAAAAGTTGGAGCTTCTGTCCCTTATTTTTCTTACAGCCTTTCTTGCTTTGAATCTTGATTCTGAGCATTCCTAGCAGTTTAAACTGAGGTAGAAGATACATCTGCAGAACGTCTAGTCCAGTCCAGAGATCGTCTACTCCAGTCCCTTGGCTCAAACAAGATGAACCTGGAACAAATTTCTCTAGGCTCAACCTAGAGCAGGTTGCTCAGGAGGATGTCCAGCTGGGCTTTGAGTATCTACATCCATGGAGATTCCACAGCCTCCCTGGGCAACTTCTTACAGTGTTCAAGTATCCTCACAGTAAAAAATGTTTTCTTACATTTAAGCATTTCAATTTGTGCCCCATTGCCTCTTTTCCTATCACCGGGAAAGAGCTTGACTCTTACCTTCTTTACATCCTTCCTTCAGGTATTTAGATACATTCAGGTATTTATATACATTGGTGAGATCTCCCCTCAGCCTTCTCTTTTTCAGGCTGAGCAGTTCCAGCTCTCTCTGCCTTTTCTTTTCTGACACATCCCTTAGTCACCTTTGCGGCCCTGATGACATGTTCAAGTGCCTTTGGCCACATCATATGAGACCAACATTTTTAGAGCACAACCAACATTGGCTGGCTCCAGTGAGATCTCCAAGTGTTGAACATCAGTGGCTATGGGACTGTGGATGTATAACTTGTTTGAAACTTGAAATAGGGAGGCTGGTCCAGCCCCTCCAAGCATTTAAAGCACTGGCTGTGTTGATTTGAATAGAAGGTAGGCACCATAATACCTGGGAGAGTCAAGATCTAAGGTACCTCACTTAGTGTTATCAAGCAGAATTAATCAAATGGAAATGCCTTTCTTCTGCATGTTTGAAGTTTTCATAAGCCTGTATAAACTCTAAGCAACTGATTTCTCTCTAGCGCTTACGGAGAAGTTTGCCTCCAGGACTGCTGAGACGAGTGTCCTCAACTTGGACAACAACAACATCAGCCACAGGATTACCTACACTGGAGCCAGCTCCAGTGAGAAGAGATCGCAGTGGCAGCATCAAACCTCATGAATCATCTTCATCCAGGTTACAAATTACCTCCTCTGTCTTTGGGCAAATATCTTTGGTTCTGTGTGATGATATTCCTCATAAAAAAAAGCTGACTCCAGAGTGTGTTAGAACTACTTCTTCATGTTTCTCTAAATTTGGTTGCCAAAGAAATGGCATTCCCAATTCTAGTCAGATTATGCCAAAACTATTCCTGTTATTGGGAAGCAAAATAAAAATTAAAATAAAACTAAAATAAAATTAAAATAAAAATAAACAAAACCCAAACCCTATATATTTATGCTAGCAAAGTACAGAATTGCACATTAAAATTGGAAACAAGGCAAGATATCTGGTTAAAGTCTTATTGATACACAGTGGTTTCCTCTATGGGTATTGCCCAGCCAACAAAAAATTGTATCCAGTAACCTAGCTGCTAAACATCATTTCTAAGAACAAACCTTATGATGTAGTCCTGTGATTAAACCAGTTCATAAAGCACTTCTCCGTCCTCTAGATATTAACTTCCAGAACACAACCCGTGATTTTAAGTGGACCCTTCTAAAATACACTGTTTTGTTGTTTTCTGTCTATAGAAGTGTAGCATCATCAGACCATACAGTATATGCCCTGCATCCGATCTATACACTTAATTCCAGAATGTAAGATGTGGTTAGGGCTCCCTGAATAAACTCATGCAAATGCAATACCAGCAATAGATAGTAAATAAAGACCAATGAGTTAAGATCAGTCAAAAAGTAATTTAGTTGACAGAAGAAAGTACATTAGTTATTACTGGGGAAAATAAAAAGGTATAGTCTAGCAGTAAAATTACAGAGGAAGATTTGCTAGTAGATGTTGAAAACAAAGCTGAAAATTTAATGAGTACTGACATTTTTTCTTGCAGGATGGTAGTTCTTCTTCCCCTAATTTTAAGCACTGCAGTGGACCACTTCTTTCCTGTTGACCAGAGTTTAGATTCTGGGATTCAGAATCCCAGCTGTCCTATCCTTAATCATGACTGTCTCATCTAGTGAAAAGGCTTTTCCTGAATCCCCATCAAGAGGCACCTCATGCACCTCAGCTCTCACTGTTTTGAAGAGGCAGGTTTTTATCTTAGGGCTGTAGTCCCTTATGACTGACTATATCAGTTAGGTTTTCCCTGCTAAATCTTACCCATTCTCTTTTGCTCAGGGCCTGATCCCTGAGCCAATATGTACATTGAGTATATAACATGAACCAGTCTATGTATAAAACACAGTCCTCCCGTGAAACAGAGAAGTTAGAGCCAGCAGCCGAGTGGTTCAGGACGTTTTAGAGTACTACCCTAAGAAAGTTGTTTCTCTGCCTGAGTGTGTTCAGATGTGTAGATACTTCACATTTTGGGGCTTTTGTGCTACCAGATAGCCTGAGGTGAGCTGCATTTAACCCTCCACAAAGGCTGCAGCAGGTAATCCAGTAGCAGCCAGTGAATAAAGGAGTTGAATGGATATTAGTCTTGTGGGAAGAGCGCTTGTCTATGAGAAGTGAGGCTTGCGTCCCAGGTGCCGTTAACTGATATGTAGGTATTTCAACAATATTTCCTCCTTTCTGGCTCCATGTGTATTTTTCTCCTCAGAATGGAGAAGAGCCTTCAAAGGAAGGTCAGAGGGCAGTCAGTTGTGAAGCCTGGTAGTTATGGTGCCACCCTGTGAAAATGAAGTTCAGTCCCCTCCTCTCCTCAGCAAGGGGTATCTTCTTGGAGCTGCTTTGCTTTGGGGAAAGGAAGATAGGAGGAAAAGCACCAAATTCAAAAAAAAGAATTTAGTACTGTGATATCAGAAGACTCACAGGTTTTCCTGCAATTCAAAATTTGGTGCCAGTAGTGGAGAAAATGTTAGGACCTGAGAAGGCCTGACATCACCAGTGTTTTGGATAGCTTGGGTGAGTGCAGCTCCAGAGAGCTGCTTTGGTCAGCCTTTCTTCCAGATACGTGAAACTTTCCCATAGAGAAGGCTCCCATGCAGGAGGGTATCTAGGTGCTCAAAGCAGCATGCAGAGTACGCTGTGTGTCTGGTGCAAGAAAAATTCATGGTTAGCCAAAGTTCCCTTTGTGAGGAGTCCCATGTATCTCAGTAAAAGTAAATATAAAGAAATGGTAACCAAATGGAAATGCTCTTCAGTCAGCAGTCTGTGGTTCCCAGGGTGCATTTGATTTATACTGTTGATACTAGACTCGCTCGTAGTATGTAAGCGTCCTAAGATGGGAATCAGAGGGAGAGGGAGAGCAATTAAATATTATTGTTGGTCCTTTTCTGCAGTTGTTATATAACTCTGTATGATGAGCCAACTAAGGAGGCTATCCATTCTTCCTACATTTAATGACACCAATTGTATAATTATAGCTCTGTCAAGCCTCCCAGCCTACTGTTTGCAGTTTTTCTTTTACAGTAGGAGGAACAATGTGTATTCCAGAAAGAAAAAAAATTAATCCTATAAGTCTAGCTTTAAAAATTTTGGCAGGCCAATACAGATTTACTTTCAAGGAAAAGGATTTTGAACTGAAGGGGGAAAAAAGAAATCTCTATTAGCTCCTACTTCCCCTGTACCAAATTCAAGCACATCAGAGGTCACAGAGAAAGAAACATTTCATGGCTTGGAAGGTAGGATGGGAAAAATTACGCTGGAATTTCCCTGTGGCAGAATTCACAGTTGTAAAAACTGAAACTTGTTCCTCACAGTCTGGGACATCACATCTGCATTTCTATATTCACAGATTGTAAAAATCCCTCTTAAATCTCTGAGATAAGTAATCATGTGTTCTTCCAACCTTATGTCACTATACTGTTAAGACATGGTCCTCATAGCTTCAAATGGTTTGGGAAAATTAATAGAGCTTCCACATTCCTTCCCTCAGTCATTTGTATATCCAGTGGTTCTCCCTCAAGTCAAAATGTGGTTTGGGGGTTTTGCTTTTGGTTTGGTTTTTCTTTACCATGGGCTAGTGTGTTATATTCTTCTTGTCAGTTATAAAACAAAACCACAAAATAAACACACAAGAAGTTTTTTTTTTAAAAAAAAAAAGAAAGAAAAAAGAAAATAAAAAGGCTAGATTCTTTATTGGTGTTACTTCACTACAGATTATAGGAATTTTGGCTTATGAAGGCAGCCAGCAAATATTTTTGTAGATAGTGCTTGCTCTTCCAAAGCAATAAGGTGTTTCTAGAGTTATGACATTACATGCTTTTTTCTTTCAGAACACTTTTTTGTTTTCAAGTTCAGCTGGGACTAGGCTGCTGTAGAAGGCTGCCTTCTGTTTTGCCTGTTATCTCATCACTGGGATGAGGGGAGAATTGTGGAGCCTGAGAGGCCTAGCAGATCTATCCAGAGAAGTCATAGGCCTCACTATAAGAGTCAATGCTATCCCTGTAAGCAGCTGACATTTGATGAATGTCATTTGGGAAACAGTGATAAATAAAATTCTCTTTCTTTACAGAAGTATTTTGCCTTTTCTGGTACACAGTTATAGCCTGAAGGCACTTACCCATCCTGTTGTGGGGGACCAGCATTTGTTCCACACACACCCTATTTTTCTTCAGTGAGTGTCTCTTGGGTCAGTGACCAATACATTCCGGGTCTGTCAATAGAAATATTTTTGAGATGCAGTGTGCATCTGAGTTGGTGAGAGCATGATGTGCTTCACACAGAGAAGAGGCACAACACTAACAGCAGCAATGCAGGGCTCTTCCAAGCCTTCCAGCCTCCTGGGCAGCTCCTTCAGTGCCCAAAAGGTTACTGGGTTGGTTACTGCCTTGGTAGTTGCAGCAGAGGAGTCAAGGAAACTGATCTTTCGTTTATACTGAGAGCTTCTGGCTCTTGTAAAGAGGCATTAAAAGAGAATATAAATTTAGCTTATTTCAAGTCAACTTTTTAGCCTTTTTGTACTGTCAGAACAACATAATGAAGACATGTTCATATAAATAAAGTGAATAGGCCTCAGCACTGAAGGAAGTCCAGCTTTGGAGTGTTTGCTTTGTAAATGTTTTTGCTGAATACAATACTGAGCGCCTCACAAATAGCAGGTCAGCCAGCAAATAGATGCTGTTTTCTTTGTCTGATTTTGTCTATCTCAGTATCATGTACTTCTTGCTGTGGCTCCTAGCTTCTTGAAATCTGCCACTGAGCAGATTTTTACTGCATTGAGAGCTTTTTACTGTATCAAACAATGTTCGTTTGCGCTTTGATTTTGCAGTACTGACTCCTGGAACAGCTCAATTCTGATGACAATCACGAAGAGCAGGTCCTTCTCTACTTCATACCCCATGTCTTCTACCAACCACCTGAATGCCAAAAGGCAGAGCAGGCAAGGTGAGTGGATATCCATGGCTTTGTCAGGCTCACTTAGCTGCTTTCCTGTGACTAACACTGGCAGCGGCTTTTGAGCTCTTTCCAATCTGTCTTTTCTAGTTTTTACATCAATATAAATATAGTTATGTCCTTTATGTAAAAAAAAAAAGCAAACTGTGGCTTAAAATACTATAGTTCATAGTGATGCCATTGTAAATATTTTGAATTTTATGATTTATGGAGGTTAGTCATGACATGATGCAGCAAGTGCAATACTAAATTGTGTTGTGATTTATATCCATGTAACCACCTGGACTACAACAGGGCTGAGAACAGAATGTTTTCTGTAACATTTGTGAGATTAACTGTGTAGAATGCCTGACTGAGATTTCCTGAAACAGAACTCACAGAATGCCATTCAGAGCTGTAGGCAGCAACTGACCTGTCTTATGCAAACATATCCAAGACAAGGCATTACGAGTCAGAGGTCTATCTCTGTATAAAGTCATTATTGAGAAAGTCCAGGTAGTTCTTACTTATTTTTAGAGATGAGATGTATGGGGTTTTTTACTCAGCTTTTTGGGCCTTAAAGAATTTTTTTTTTAAATTGCTCCTTTTTATTTGGGGAAAAGTGACTTCTTAATTGATAATGGAATGTGCAACTTGACAGCTGTGATGCAGTTGTAACCAACAGTAATGTGGTTCTCTTGCCTTTACAAATGCAGGACAAAGTAATGTTTACCCATGCTTTAACTTACAATTAAAAATGATCATAAGGCCTTCCTTTTTTAAATCAGCCCATTCTTTTTCCAAACATGGAATAACGTAGAGATAATGTTACTCAGAGATACTGGCCACTCAGACATCAGATAGAAATTGATAGATGCCTTAGGCATCTGAGAATCCCAATTTAGAGATGGGTTTGAAGATGTGGCTGCACAATTATTCTGCATATCTAGCACTGTCACATCACATCTCCTTTTCAAACTGAAGAGTTTATTTAATCTCCTCTTATACAGAAGCTGCTTTGTTATACCACAGTGAAGAATAAGTAACAAAATATTTTCTTAAAAGGTAATAGGCACATAGGCAAATGAATACAATTGAACCTGGAAAATAATGAATATAGAGTATCAAAGAATCCAGGAATTTGTTTTAGGACAGAACAAATCCAATTTAGATTTTGTAGTTTTTCAAAGATTAATTCATTAACTTGAAAGGGGTGTGTGTGTGTGTGGTATTTTCTACTTGGAAAGCATAAATTATCAGGCCCATCAGTCAGTTTTACATTTAGTTTTTTCTTCTTTCAGAAGGTGTTCATAGTCATCTCCGTGGCCCAAATGCATGAGCTCCTTTCCATCATGAAGAGCTCCATTCCATCACAAGCAATTCCTAGGGACACTGATTGACAGGAGTAAAAATTTTGATTCAGCATTTTATGAAAAAGTTTGATACTTTCATGTTTTAGACTGCTTACAATAGTGCTTTTTAAATTAGGATGTTTTAGTATTCCAGCTGAAGAATTGTTTCAGTTTGCATTGGTTAATACAAATTAGATTTTTATATATTGGCTCCATTGGAAATATATAGCAACTCTCAATAGAAGCTGATTCACTAGATCTCTTGGTTTACAAAATGTGTCTTTAATTATGCATTAAAATATTTTAAAATACTGCTAGCTATCGCTATTTCGGCAAAATTCTGTGGTAAATTCAGGTGTTTTCATATGTAATTTCACATGACATTGAAGTTACTCTTTTTACTTCTTCAGCACTGAGCATGTGTAAAAGTTCTGAAGCACCTAAGCAGATGGATATACTTTAAAAAAATTTCCCTGATATTGTTCTCTTATCTTCGTTGTTGAAAATTCCTTGCTATAGCAAGGAATTTATTCCTTGCTTTCTCTTTTACCAATAAATGGTTAAATGTTGGATTATTGATAGTAGCTTTGCTTTTTATGTGGTGAATTTATTTATTTTTCATTACTCACGCAAATTACTCTTTAAGTAAATCCTACAACAAAATGAGACAGGAGCTCAGACTAGCAGTAGAAAGCCAGCTGTGATTAGAAACATTACTGGGAAAATCAGTGTTTAAATTCCCATGACTTGTTTTAAATTGTTGAAAAGATGACTGTATATATTGTATTCTCTAATTGTCATGAAGATTGCCTGGTAACATATAGCTCAAAGACAGATAATAATCCAACTCAATCCCCCGTGCAACTAACAGACTGCAAAATGTTTTTGAAGACATACTTTTTTTGGATGGAAAGAAGGTATCTCAAAGGATTAGTAAATGTGAAACAGAGGCTTTCTATATTTAAAAGCAATTTCCATATGTCATGACCATCTGATAACTTTCTAATCACTCTGTAGGCTGCAGGTCTCTGATCTCAAGACTAGCATAATATCCTAGTTGCAATCATTGAATTAAGACAATAATACATGCCACTCTAATCAAATCTTAGGAGATGCTGGAGATCTCAAAATTACAGTATGGTAACTGTCAGAGATTATTTTTAGCTCTTGGATTGTCAATAGTAAGTCATATTTTAACCTCAGATCATAGTAAGCTGTTATCAGAAAAAAAACAACACTGGAACTGTACCCTTATATCCTGCAAGTTTAGTATTGCATAAACTTGTATCAACATATTGCCTTATTCTAAGGTAATTTTTATGTCTGGAACACATTTAGATAGTGGGCACAATTCTAACATAAAACCAGATCAATTCCTAGGCTCTTTATATAATTTGGCTTTGAAGATGAACATGGTAGATGAACTGGGGCTGAGTTCCCTTAAGCTTGAGCACAGGAATTAAGTCAATTTATATGCATTTCCTTTTAGATAGATCATGTTTGCTCCTCTACTCTTTATTGTGAATGGGACGTTTTTGGCTGAGTTTAGAAAATGTGAATTCAAAAAGAAGGCAGTACTTCTTCTCAAACACTGGACTGGCTGATGCATTTTATCTTTTCAGTGGTGCTTAGATAGAATAAGGGACATAGTGAACTATGTCTTACTGGTGTTCACATGTAGAAGTGGCTGATATTAATGGAGCTTGGGGCTTGGCTCAGAGTGGAGGAGGTTTTCTCTCACTTTTCCATTTGGAAGCTATGCTGGTACCTGCACACCTCATCAAGAGTGTTTCTGCACAGTGAACTCATACAGCCAACTGCCACTTCCATTAATTGACACAACTCTTCCCTTGCCAGGTATCCCACCAAATATTTCACCTCTCACCTCCCCATGCCATTCACCAATTCAGGGAACACCTGCCACAAGTCCTACCGGAAAAACATCTTCCGTGTCATTTCCAGACTCTACAGATGTTGATACCAAGCAAGGCTTAAAGCCACACAAAGTCTTAACTTCTACTCAGAGTGCACCTGTGCTGTCAGACCCTATTATCAGCTCCTCTGTCATCTGCAGCAGGTAAGATACTAATTTGACATGAGTGGCAATCATTAATGTTGACCAAATGAACAAGCTCTTTTGGCCCACATAAAAGTTTTTGTGATTCAGTGGGTATTGTGTATTGATATTTCACCATATTTAAGCAGCTCTTAGTATATGAGTAACTGTGTAGATTGATGCAACAAAGTCCTTGTAAACTGCATGATTGTTAGCTACATTTAATAGCTTTTACTCACGTCAGATGCACAATCTGATTAATAACTAAATTATTTGTCAATAATTTGCAAATCTCTGAGTTGGATTTCATGTCAACAGCTTGTGTTTCTCATGCCGTGCCGTTAACGTGAACAGTCACTTTGAGGGTGTAGGCCAGATCTTTCACAGCAGACATCAGATGTTTGACATAAAAATCTGACTGCTAGGATTTAAAAGTTGCTGGCCTGTAGCCTTCTGATAAAGGTGTGCTTTGGCACACCTTCAGGCAAAAATGCCTGAAGACTAGGTAGTTCTGAGCTCTCTCTCTGAAGGAGTGGGTTCTGTCATCCCTAGGCAGAATCAGATTATGTGGCATTGGGATTTTTTTCAGAAATCAACTGTAGCTGAGTTCTTTCTGCTGCTAAGATTACAATAACTCCATTTATTTTCACATTTTCAAATAGCCCTTTATTAGGTTACACAGACCTGCTCCGCAAAATCTGCATTTTGGAAATAAAGTTCTGCTTGTCTTCTCGAAAAGGAATTAGTTGCTAAATTAGATTACTGGATTTTGCAGTATGTGTCCAGTTCAGAATAGTGGGAAACACTGGTATTTAGAAGCCTGTTCAGTGCATTTTTAAGGTTACCTTACTCATTAGCTGTTACTTTTGATTGTAGTAATGAGTGGTTTGTGATTATTGGCTAGCCAGTGAACAGCAAGTCATCGGAGCCTGGATTAAGTGTTATCAAGTTTGACTATTTTTGGAAATAGTTTTTCAATTCTGACTCAAGTCACATGCCTTTAGATGTGTCTCAGAGTGCTGTGTACAGGGCTAGGAAGTGGGTGTGAGAAAGTCAAAATTGAGATTGCAAGTTTGCTCAAGGGAGTAATCATCACTGGAGTTCAGGGTAGGATCCCAGCAGGCTTTTAAGATGTGTTTGGGTGACTCAATAGAAACTAAGTGCTTTTAGGAGTTTTCCAAATATATTTGGGTCTTGCATGTATTTATTTGAAATGTAAACTTTATTACACATAGGAAATACATTATAAATGTGCTACTATCTCATTAAACTGTGTCTTTATTTTTATTTCAACAAAACATTATTACTTGAACTAGTAACAATTATCATTGTTTCTATTAACCGTTGTGTAAAAAATGTCCAAAAAAATGTAAAGTTGTTGTAGGTAGTAATGGAGTATATTTTCTTAATCTATGTAGACTTTGATTTGAATGTAATCACTGAGAAAATGCTCATTAGCATTTACATGGCTTCTGTCTTATGAGATCTACATAGGTTGCATAGCATTTTTAGGTTCTTAATTTCCTGGGTTTCAACTGCTTAGACTGCATAAGTGTTACATTGCTGGCATAGACTTTGTTGTTGGTTATTTGAAACAAACACATTTTTAAAATATTATGGTGTAATGACAATACAATCTGTATCCACTATGCCTAAAAGTCACTGTTCCTTTAATGTCAATTGAAAAATCATAAGTACTGTTACATTTCTACCACAGATACAAGCTGAACCAACTCCACGTAAATAATGCACCCCTTAATAATGTAAGGACAATTACAAACAAACAAAACCCCAAAAAACAACAACCCCCCCAAAAAAAAAATAATTGCTAAGACAAGCTGAGAGAATTAAGTTACCAAAAAAAAATAAAATTGCTAAGACAAGCTGAGAGAATTAAGTTAACAAACACTGGAAGTAAATGTTTTAATGTCTGAGCTTTCACATTTAAGATTGCTAGTCATCAGGGTATGCAATCCCCTACATTTCCTACCAAAACCCCTGCCTTGATAGGAAATAATACCAAGTCAGCAAACCTCTGCCACCACCAAACTAATCCCTCCCCCAATAACAAAAGAGAAAATCAACTCTTTATAAGAGTCCAGTACTTTAAATCAGATTGACCCAGGTAGTGGAATCAACAGCAGTTTTGCTGTACTTTTTTTTACTTACAAACTGAAATGTGGTAGTACAGCAGGTAATGCTGCTAAAATAAATTATAACCAATAATTAGTAATGAATGTGTCAGGAGTTCTGTGGAAAAAAATGTTAAACAATCTTGTGATTAAGAAGTATATTATAATGCTTATGCACAAAGGGTGTTGAGTTAAAAGTTGCATGGGCACATTTACTTCTAACATAGAGCAAATTTCAAGTGTTCCACCAGGTAGCTCAGTCATTTTTTAATATTTTTTTTTTTATTACAGTGTCTTATGTGTGTCATACAAATAAAATCAGTGTGAATTTTCTCAAGTTCTAGAAATAAAGAGGTACGCTCATGACGCAAAAGCCTTGTGACATTACAACAAATCAAAGACTCTCTTTCTCTTTTACTTTCACATTTTATCTTGTAAGCATTGACCTTATAAAAGCCACATGGAATGTGGGAGATAAAAATTAATACATTTTTTAGATCTTTTTACTTAGCCTGAGTGATACAAGATTTATTTGCTTGGCTATGCACTACAAGTATCATTGTATACAGATTTGTATTTGTTTTTAAAATGCTTTTAGGATTTCACTACATTTGCAGGGCATAACAAGCTCTGGAATATGTTTTGAATGATCCAGTCAAAAGCCATCTGGCATGAGATTTCAGCTGGTTTTATATGGTGATTTTTAGATGGTGTATTTAAATTGGTGCTAAGTTTTTAGTACAATGTTTGACCAATCAAAATTATTTTGTCATAGTTGCTTTGCAAAGGCTGTTTTGTATGAGATATGCCACCAAATGCTGACTTGAACCAATGAAAGGAAGGTTAAAATGTCAGGGTTTTGTAGACAGATTTGATATAATGCTGCTTCAGATTTGTTAAGTTATCACAAGTTTTCATGGTATGTCATTGTCCCTTCAGATCCTAGGCTCTGTCATATTGGGACATTGTAATTTAAAATGTTCCAGCTGGTATTGAATTCACATTTAGGTCTTAAAGGAGAATCACATACAAGGAATAAAGCATTTTCATGGAAGAGAAGAGCCAGTCATTTGGAAAGGCCATGACATTGTGATCCCCCCCACAGTTTCTTTCTGTTCTGAGAATGACGAAGCAAACTCTTCTGATTTCACTGCTAAATGTCTGGATGCCAGATCACTCACCTCATGTTCTCTCCAAAATGCCCCCTTCATTTTGATGTACTTGGTATTTTGTCACTGAAGTCATGGCAAATTACCTTTTTCCTTCTTAAGAGGAACATATCCAAGTGTTACAAAAGAAAAGAAGAGTAAAGCCACATCATGACTGTGTTCAAATTGAATTACGTAAGTTTGTATGGCATGCTGGCACATATTAATCTTTTTAATTCGTGTTTATAAGGCAGTACAAAACCAAGGATTTTTTTGTACTAAAAAAATTGGAGAATAAAAAAATTCATTTAAAAAATCCTATCATATGATATAGGTTTAGTATTGGCAACACAAATTTAATAGTGGTGGCCAGTTATTCCAAAGTCTTTTTTTATTTTTGGCTTTACATAATTGACTTCCAGTAAAAGTTCAACTTTTGTAATGTTCTCTGGAGAATTCACCCTGTACCATAGCTTATACTGTGTGGTGTAATCTTAAAATCATTTCACATATGACTGTCTATTGTGCATTGGTTTTTATATTGTGCGTATTTCTTGATCTGTTACAGCTGTGGCAGACCCTATAACCAAATAGAAACTGGTGATGGAACACCAGATAGAAATGATGGTACCACACACACCCTGAACAGAACAGGTAATTCATTGTCCATCAAACCTCCTCATCCCTTAAAATTTAATAATCACTTAGAGAAGTGGTAGATATGCCTCTCTGTCATAAAACGAAAGCATATGTGGGTGAAATCTTCCATACGTGGCTGGGGTCCCTTCCATTTTGAATGTACAATATGTGCAAAATGCTAAAAGCAAAACTCTAGTCTTCATAAACTAGAGTTAAAATATAAAAAAATAAGGTTTTCTCCATCTAACCTAGTCAGCTCAAATCACGGTCCTCAAAATTTTTCTTGCTCTTCAATCCCTGATCCCATTTTTTACACTCTGCAGGATATATGCTTTACTGCCTTTGGACAGATTGCCTGACTTTGGACCCAGCCAAGCAGCACATATGTATTATGAGTCAGAGATCCTGTTGCTATTACTCAGAAGGTCACAGGATGACTTTCATGCAGTCCTTGCTGTTCACACAACAAGCTTTACGATTTGTGTTGCAGATGATCCTGCTCAAGCCACTTCTGACTATGAGACCAACAACAGCGATAGCAGCGATATCGTACAAAATGACGATGAGACAGATTGCTCCAAGGAGCAGACACGGAAGGGATCCGTCTGTAGGACCTACACACCAGAGACCATCATTCTACATCCCTTAATACCACCTGAGGTAGCTTAATTTCTTTCCACTTGCACAATAGACTGAGTGTATACTGACACGGGGTCAGGGGGGGAGGAATAAATCAATGAAAGGAACAAAAAAATCCAAACACCCACCAAAAAATATTTAAGGCTGCCTCGAAATGGGGGCCATGGTTTGAAGCAACAACTGCAGCAGGCTCCTAACTTGCAGCAGGGGGATTGGCTTCCAAGAATTGAAAGGAACCATAGAACTGTGTGAGAGCTGCTAAGCACTGGCCACTTGTGAAACACTAACCATCTATTTTGATGAATACATCAAAGTTTATGGGTCTGGCATTAGGCATTCTTTAAATGTTTGGCTTCTGTCTTAGTATTGCCTTTAAAGGGAATGTATTGGTAGGAAGATAATGTATCTTATCACGCTGCCAGCTTGATACGTAATCTTCCTGTTCAGCCACTTCAACATCCCAGTGGCCTTGCAGTCTTGGCTAATATATACAGTAGTCCTTATTTTAAAATAAATTAACAGTGGTCTGAGGGTATTGCACGATTATTGTTGGTGTATGTATTGAACACAAAAGTATTTCAGGATGGTGAACAAATGCTCATCTTCTCATCATGACTGAATTCAGTTTTATACTTGATGGAGATACAAAGGGAAAGCTTTGTTTAGTTAAATTTTCTATAGCCTGTTGTAAAACAATTGTTAAATTTAAGTTGGCATGAGCTCCTGAAAAATTTACTGTAATCTGTTGGAGTTGTTGGACATGCTGAGAGATAGCATTTATCTTGAGGTATGCTTACATTTACTCATCTGTGGTTTCTTAGTAATGAAATTCAAGGAAGTATAAAGGGAGAAGTGTGAAGGAAGGGGTACAATCCATCTTTTGTGTACAGACCTTGAAAAATGAGTAGGTTTCAGTTTAAGAAGTACACTTGGACCAAGCTCCATTAGCCATGTTAGACTGCAATGAATGGGTCCTGATGTGGAAGTAGAAACTGAGCACTTTTCCCTCTGCACTGCAGCAAATTTTATAATGAAGACAGACTCCCTTGGAATGAATGAATGATTCCCATGAATGAACGAATGAATGGATAAGTTCAGAGACTGATGTTTCACATACCGAATTTTCTATTCATTCAAGTAAAACAAATCATAAAAGAGAGTCTGCAGGGCTTATAGAAATGGGGACATCTCCACTGAGCTGTGTAAAGTACGATTGACTTACAGATGATGCTAATCTGACCTTAGTTTTTCAAAGCAGAAATTTTTGCATTAGATACTTCACAGAACTAAAATTCCTCTTTATTCTGATTTTTGGAATAGGACAAGCCTGTACTTGCTCCTGAGCCTCTGGTTATGGACAACTTGGATCCCCTGATGGAGCAGCTAAATAGCTGGAACTTCCCCATCTTTGATTTGGTGGAAAAAATTGGAAAGAAATGTGGTCGGATTCTCAGTCAGGTGAGAAGGATGTCTTAATCTGCAATGATTGGCTAGTTTATCAACAGATTTAGACAAAATAGTGTAAAGACCCATTGTCCAATGTATTGGTCACCTAATTCAAAAGTGACAATATGAAGTCCTCATTACGTTCCTTACTTTAATGTTTCTAAGTTCTTAAGTTTAAAAATGTGAAAGGAAAAACCACACACCTCTTTTACCTGCTGCTCTCTGCTGATGAGTTTACGTAAACCTTTCTGAATATTCTCTTCTTTCTTCAGGAGACACTGCCACCTCTTGCTGAGTTCTTTGTGGAAGGATTTCCCATGGGGTTCATCATGGGAGGGCTAACCAGTAAATATATTCAGTTGTTGAAGGAAATATGGAACTTCAGTCTGTTTTAAATAGTGGAGATTTCAGTCAGTCTGTGCAAAAATGCAAGGTTGTGGGAAGTGGGGGAAAAACTTGCTCTATTCTCTCAACTATAAAGAGTCAGCACTTTGATTGTAAATTCATATTATTAGATAGGAAATAGTAATTTACTGTGAATCAGGATGTGAGAGCTTGCTAGTCTTTCTTTAAACCATCATTTTTTCATTCCTTCCGGGAAATTGAATGGGCTTCCATAATCACTTTCTTGGCTGAACTTTCTTCTCTGTTATGACCCTTTTTCTGGCACACTGGCAAATTAGCAATTTTTTTTAAGGAAATATTGAGGTCTATTACACAGGAATGGCAAGTAATTCTTATTTAGAGATGAACGAGAAAAAATCACAAGATAATCTGACAGTTCTAGTATCACTTTACAAGGCATTATGTAGTGATGAATGCTGGAAAAAAGAGACTATGTCAGTTGGTATAATGTGGGACAATTAACAATCCCCTCCGAAAACAGAGGTTAGTATGTCAGGCAGATCTCAGTGCAGCGAGCTCCAGGGAATGCTGTATCAAATCTTGGTCCCTTGGTGGTTATCTATTATTTGGCTAGATTCAATTATCCAGTAGCCAACCAGGAAAACCACGGCATGAATTTAAATTTATTCTGTGGTCTGCCTTTTATTGTTCTGTAGCTTGGCAAGTACCATCTATTTTTAACCAGCCTGCCAGCTCTGTAGATCAGTTTTAGAGAAATTGGCAGACTATGGCTGAATGTGGATATTGATATAAATTCACTTATAACCATTGAGACACTTTTACACTAGGGCAGTGACTATGTGATTCAAAGGCACTTCTAGATCATATTGGTCATATTGTTTTGTAATAGTATAAAATGAACAGAATGACAAATGAAGCATAAGGTAAAACAGAACTTTTTTTAATGGCATAGCCAACAGTTGAGATGAGCCAAAATTTGTTCTGTTACATGGTTACCTCTATAGGTTTTAAGCACTTTGCCAAGTTGCATAGTTTTGTGCCTATCAGGACTATTCCCCTGTGTTCTCTGAGTTTGCACTAAAGCTCCACGCAGTTTCCCAACATCTGCTTTTTTCATGGGTTCTGAGCAGCTTATCCTTTTTGCAGTGCCACAAAATGAGGTCTGGGAAATAAAACAGAGAAGTTTTAATAAATAATATTTGTGATCAAAATTCAACATTTTCTTTAACAGCCGCTTGTAATAACTCCCACTCCCTAAGAGCAGAAGGTAGTAAGTTCAACCTTGTTCATAAAACATAAATCCTTTAGTTCTTTCCCCCATATTCCTAGATGTTCCTAACAACAATATTTTCAGAAATAAGATAATTAAAATAAATAAGTTTTTTTTCCCCTGCCAAAAGTATTGTCTTTTTCTTGCATAATTTTTAAATCCTGGGATATTATAGGCAAAAGAAAACAAAAGCTCTAATGATTTATTCTCTGTATTTTGCCACTAAATGGACTCATCCATTAAAAAGTAAGTAAATTAACAAGCTGAATTAACTATGTTTGCCTTGCTAGGTTAAATTTATGAGATGGAACAAAGCAGAGTTGACACGCGCCTCTAGGGAAGCATTCAGTTTTGAAAGCAAATGCTGGCTTAGCATCTTTAAAGCTGCTTGAGATGTCTATTTCTTCCTTTTGGAATGTTAAATTGATTTAGACATATAAAAAGACCCAAAACCAGTCAGCGGCCATAAAAGCATCTGTGCAAAGTACAGTGGCAAGCACTCTAAGTGTGGCACTAACAAATATGCATGAGTGGAATTTACATACCAGTCTCATTTCAGAAAGGAACAGCAGAGCTCTCCAGCTGAGCTGATGCTTCACAACAGGTCATAAAGTTAGATAATATCTTCAGTCACACTTAACACTTTTCTCAAATCTCCTATAAAATGAAAATCTGGAATGGAAGAGAAACTCCTTTGCTTTGGAAAGCAAATATCGTGCCACTGTAGATTTTTATAGTAAGAATAATTAAAATTGATATGAATTTGCAGCATTAATCATCTTCTCTCTCCCCGCACCACTCCTGCGCCCCCACCTTGCCTCTGAGGGAAAATCTTCATGTGAACTAATTCTGGGAAATGACTGCAACAGGCAGTGATGATGCAGAGACAGGTTGAGCATGGCATCTGACACCATCCTGGGTGCCCCTCTGATGATACATTTCTGACAGTTAGAGTTCTGAGCTCAGCTCTTGCTTTGTTCCCACCATAATTATCTAAGTGCCACTAGGAATGGAGCCAGGAAAAATCACTGCTGCAGGTAGTTTCTCTTTCTGGCCATGGCTGCTGGTCATAAAGTGAAAAGTTCTTTATGGCAAAAGAGCTAAGGAGCTAGGAAATGACAGCACTCTGAAGACTTGAGCTTAGAATCAAAGGAAGGAACTGTAGAAAGCAAAACTTTACCCTCTGAAAAGTCCATGGGATCCTCCTGTACCAAGGCACAGCGAAGAGACTGACTTCATGCGTAATTTGGATAAGGAACTCCATAAAATTCTGTTTATCTAACTGGAATCATGGCAGTGTGGATAGCTGTTTCATTTGCCTTCAGATGTATAACATGAAACATAATTTGCAACAATTTCTTATCAGTATAGCAGTCATCATTCCAAGTGTGCTTCAGATTGCTTGGCTCTAGGCAGATCATTACCAGGCAGACAGCATCAAAAGGACAGAATTTAGCTAACAGCAGAAAATAAATAAAGAAGCTGAAAAGCTTTAGGGTCCAATTTGTGAAAGAAGTGAAAAGGTCAGGCAGTAATTTTACTATGTCCCATTGTTCTGTATGTCAAGTTCAAACTTGTCTTCAAGAGTGTCCATTTTGCAGCAGCTACTGTCTACATTTCAGAGCATTCATCTCTCCTGAACACTCCTCTCACTCATCCATCACATTCTCCCTTCATCCTCTTCCGGATGTCTACAGTCATCTTTCTGTGCAGGAATACCTGGAGCAGCTCCACTTCCTAAGCTACTTGCTGCCTCTGAAATCCTGTTGGAGAAGTTGCTCTTACCATTTCATTTCAAAAAGAGGGAAGAGGGAAAGAAGAGAATGCATAGGATCCAAATGATTCTCTCCTTTTGTAATTTCTTCACTTGTTCCCCCTTTTTCTGGAAATTAATTTGATTCATGGATGCTTCTTGGAGAAATCTGTGGGGAAATTTTTGCCAAGACACAGGGTATCCTTCTTTATGTGTGTATGTTTCTGAGGTGTTTGAAAAAACTGAGGAATCCATATGACTGAAAGGAAGAGAAGATCATCTGGAAGAGTATAATGAAGGAATGAGGAGGGCTGTTTGGTACAAACATCGTATATGTTTGGCTGTGCAGGCACATCCCTATGGAAATGCAGATAGCTGCACCTATAGCTGGATTCAAATGTACTTGAGAAAATACTACCAGGAAAGCAGGTTTTCATGGGGGAATTCTACAGAATGATTTTTATATCTGATTTCTAGAGTTCTTCTGGTCTCTTTAAGAGCATGGTTGTTTTGCTTTTTTTCAGGTATCATACAGGCTTTTTGAAGACATGGGGCTGTTTGAAACCTTTAAAATACCAGTGAGGGAATTTATGAACTACTTTCATGCTTTGGAATGTGGATACCGAGAGATACCGTGTAAGTAAAAATTCCCAGCAGGTAATTATGCTTCCATGAAGTTTGGGGTATTTTCCACACGCTTTGTTATTTAAGCCTTTCTTCTCTAACTATGACAGCTACTTCTGCTTCATCACGACTATAAATGGATGGCTTTCTAGCCAGAGGCCAGTGGTGCACCCCCATCTCTCTTTTTTTCTTCCTTGCATTTGATTTTTCATGTTGGTTCATAATAGTTCATACTGAATTCTGGGCAAGCCATATAAAGCTACTATAGGCACAAAGAACTGATGATTTCTGATGATGCAAATGTACCCTGTGCCCAGTTGGAGTTTATTGAAACATTTGCCCCCATAAGCAATTTGGGTTCTTACACAGTTAGTAGTGCTGTGCTACCAAAGGAGATGAGCTTTGTAAAGCAGAAAAAATATGCCAAGTAGATGAGTGCATCATGTTCTGCAACTGCAGCTCAGCTGGTATTTTTCAGTGTGAATCATTTATTCACTGAAAACATGCTTTCAGTCCTCCCCAAAGTATTTACTAACTCAAATACAATTTGCCAAACCGCTTCAACTGCTGGTTTTAGGCATAAACAGAGCAGGTAGTTGCCTCAAGCACTGGAGTGTAGAGTCGGCAAGGTGGTGAGCCCTCCTCTGCCAGAGCCAGGGAAATGCAGGCTGACGGCTGCTGCCTTACTGATGATGGGGAATAGAAATGTGAGCTCAGCAGTGCTGCTCTGGAGGGACTCCGTGGCTGTTATCAGCAGGAGCAGGCATCATCCATCCCCCTAGCAGTGGCAAGAAGGCAAATACAGATCTCCAGGGTGCTTCATCCCAGGTCTTCTCCTTCCTTCCTTTTCTCATACAGAAGGAGCAGCCTTAGGGTGAAGTTCAACTCCAGTGCTGAGAAACCCTCTGTCAGCTGCATGCCACCTATCTTTTGGATGCAGCAAGTATAAAACCAGCTTGCTTACACATCTTGCTCCCATTCCCTTCTACTCCTCCAGAGTACAGAGGTTTTTCACTCCTGATTAAACCAGTCAACTTTACTTCTACTTCTTAGAGGACTTGTATGTTCATAATTTTTCCTAATGAAGGATACATATCCTATCCAGTGTTATCATGGTCCTTGACTATTCTCTTCTTAATATGACCTAGTTCCCCGGTTCCCATAAAGCCTGTTCCAGCATTTGGTTTGCCAATGAGAAAACTCATGACTGATTGCCATTACCAAGGTGTCTCCAACTAGAACAGCTGATTACCTAGCGAGGTAGTCAGCTACTGCGAGTTTTAAAGATGGAAGTAGTAATGTAGTCACAGGTTATAATTCAGATTAGCAGATTTCTTTGTGTTTATCTGTTCACTGTGTTTAGCTATTAGAAGATACCTCCACTCTGCCCAAAATTAGCCTGAGTCACAAGCTGAAATGCTTGTCGTTCAGTGGTCTAACCGCAGATGTAAGCTTTGGTTGTGGTGCAGCAAAGCATTACTCCTCTTTCAGCATAGCATCATGGTTGCTCTTTGCTAGCGTATGTTTAGATGGTGCTTTGTGCTGAACTAGTCTGGAATTCTTTTCAGACAGTTGTGTTGACTGTAGGATAGTTTATCTGGCCTTTAAGTATTTGGTGATAGGAGCCTTGGGGTGACTTTCATGTCTCATTTCTGCAAAGAGAGCTTGTACTAAGGCAGATTACAGGATCCAGGGCCTGAACTCTTTTTCTCTGGCAAGAAAACTGAAGAAAAAGCCTGACTTAACTGTGCAGTTTACACGTATCCTGAGCTTGATTTTTTTGTAGTCCAGCTGCTAGCACAGCACCTAAATTTGCTGGAGTATAGTCAGGTAAGTGTTACCTGCCTTGCATTTTAGAAGCTAGGTGAAAACTGGCTACTGAAGTGGATGAGATTTTCCCACTAATTCTGTTTGAATTGGAGGTTACCAGTGCATAATTTACATGATGGCATTTAACTAGGTAAAGACAACCACTGGAGTAAAGGATTGGAGCTGGTAGCACAAGTCTTTGCAACATTTCCTACATTGCAGGTCCAACAGCTTCTCTGCTGTTTTTTCTTTCTTGACCGGTGGGAGACATACCATTGAATGTACTTCAACTTCAGTAAAAGAAAAACCGAGCATTTACAGGAGACAGCTCTTTTTCATGCTTGTGGTAGTGTTTGAGTTCTCTGCTGGATTGACTGCCACACGGTACCCACTAGATGGTGCTGATTTCCCTCTGTTGGAAACATCCTTCATGTTTAATAGCAGGGTCCTTTGCTTTGTGTCACAGATCACAACCGAATCCATGCAACTGATGTTCTACATGCCGTTTGGTACCTTACTACTCAGCCCATCCCAGGACTTCCAACTGTGATTAATGATCACGGGTCAGCAAGTGATTCAGGTATATTTAAAAGTGAATGTATGTATGTTGTATTTTTAAACTTTTTTGTCATGAAACAAGCAAACAATTGAGGATTGTATGCAGTTCTTGTTGTTATATAGACTTTTAAGTACAGTAGCACATTAAGTGTTGAAGGTGTTAAGGCATGTTTGTGTAACTTTGAAGAGAATGGAACTGGTCCTTAAAAATCCTCATGCTTTATGTTTAGCAGTGTATGGATGCAAGCCTTTGCAGTCACCTGTAGTAACAGATATTTGTTACCATTTGATTATGGCAATAGTTTTATTTCTAGGAAAACTGTATTAGTAGTGCTTTTCCATGCTGCTCCAGACACAGGGTGGACTTTTAAATCCTCAAACCTTGCATTATTTTACTCTTACAAAACCACAGGGGCAGGTAGGTAGTACTGTGCACCTGCTGCTTCTTGGCTGTGTTCCTTTGTCTTTCCTTACTGTCTCCAAAGAAAGAGACTTTTTACCATTTGGCAATTAGACCATCGTCTGCTATTTTATGATTGCTCCTTGCAAGAAGTTGTTCTTATTGCATTTTCATATTAACTTCCCTAGGTTCAGCTATAGCACTACAGGACCTGTCTGTATTTTGTGGGAGTACTGAGGGAGGTACTGGAAAAGCGGGAGTTTGTTCCACAGAAACCACTTCTGGTCTAGCTTTTTTGGTTGGTGTTGGAAATGTTTTTATTCCAGGAAAATTTTATCAGCAAGGGTTGTTGGAGGCTTTGTAGGTGAGGAAAAATGGGTAGAATGAAGGGGTTGAGTTTTGGGGCTTTTTGGTGTTTGTTACTTGAAAGGTATTGTTCAGCTGCATGTAAGATCGATTAAAGCAAATTAAATTAGCAAAGTATCTCATTCAGTATCTGCCTCTGACAGGCATGTTCAAACTGTTTCAGAAAGAGGATTAAGAGGATTATCAGCAAAGATCCAAAGTATAGAGCTTTGGGTTGAAAAACATTCACTGTAATTGAATTAATAAATGTGAGTCCATTGCTTTAAGGACTGTTAAGTGTCTCATAGACTAATCTATATGGTGAAGCAATTAGGGGAAGGAGTGGGAAGAAGATCAAGTTACTCACAAAGCTCCAGCATGGCCATGAATCCATGGCTTATTGATAGTAACGTACATAGTTTGAAAACAGGCTCTGCTGCATGGCTAGAAGATCCCCTGGTGGGATCAGAATTTGTTCCTTTCCAATTGTGTGCCTTATTCCACTGAATCATGTGCACAGTGTCAGAAAGCATTGAGGTCAGGATGTGTTTACTGTTATGTATTGTAAATTTGCTCCTCTTCTAGCTTTGTTGCTTCTGTTTCGGTAAGTCACTGAACATGCAGTAGGATTTTTTTTTTTTTTTTTATCTGTTTCGGTAAGTCACTGAACACGCAGTAGGATTTTTATTTTTTTTTAAATTGATTTATTTCTGCTCAGATTCTGACAGTGGAATCACTCATGGCCATATGGGTTATGTGTTTTCGAAGACATACACACCTACAGATGACAGCTATGGATGCCTAGCCGGCAACATTCCTGCCCTTGAATTGATGGCTCTTTATGTAGCTGCAGCCATGCATGATTATGATCATCCAGGAAGGACCAATGCCTTTTTGGTAGCAACAAGCGCTCCTCAGGTAAATAAATGTCAAGTAGTTTTGCTGTTGAGTTTGGAAGGTCTTTGATAACAGCTTCTCCGTGCCAATGGTACCTGTGGCTTGCATTAAGCACATTTGGAAACAGCTTATCCAAGTGACAGAAATAATTATTTCACTTGGGGATTACTGGTAAGAGTCTTCTTACACACCCTTGCCACCCTCAGTTAGTAGAGCTGTTAAGAAAGGGACTGATAAAATGTCTCAGCTGAAGCTCTTCTGACTGATAGAGAATTTGTAACTGTGAAATAATGGAATAATTATTCTACCCAGCAAGGCAGAGAAAGATTAAAATAAAATTCAAAAACCCCACCTGTACAGCTGGCAGTGCACCATGCAAGTTTGTTTGTGCATGATCATGAAGTATTTTCTATTGCTACTATAGATTATGAGCAGCTGCAGTCTTTTATGAATATGTTATTACACTATATATCTATCAGGGCTGGTGGGGGGTGGGGTGGTGCACAGAAAATAATCTTAGTTTTATAAATTAAGAATTGAGCCTTATCTAAGGTTGCACAGAAGTTACTGCCGAAGCTGGGAGTTAAATTCAGCAACTCTAAGTCATTGTTTATCGGTTTAATTATGAGATCATCTTTCCTTACTTTACATAGCTGACCTGGCTGGCTTCAGCATACTGTACTGAAAAGTATTTCTATGGACAAGGGAAGAAAAAAAGATAGCTTAATGGTGAGAAGTCAGGTAGGGATGCAGAAATTCTAGATTAACTCCCCAACTTGGTTACAGACTTCCTCTGTCACCAAGAGCAAGAACTTGCTCTGTATCATTTTCTGTCTATAAACCAATAGCAATACTTTCCAGTCTTATGACATCTTTCTGTGATCAGAAACTCTGATACTCTGGCCAGGTAAATAGATTGCTAGAAGACATGTGCTATCCCTACATCTATTTTAAGAAGTGCTATAGCTTTGTAGTTGTAAAAATTAGCAAGGGAAGTTAGGTCATTAGCCTTAAGTTATTGTCCCTAGTTTGAAAATAAATTAATGGGGAAAAAGTCAAATTCTTCTTGTTATTTTTGGGGGGGTTTGGTTTGTTGTTTGCTTGTTCGTTTGTTTTAAAGATCTTCCCTCAGAAGTTGTGCCCAGGTAGCAGAAGATATCTCAAATGCTTACTGTGCAGTTAGGCAAGACAGACTGTAAAGCTGAGTTGCTTCAGCAACGTGTTCTCTGGGGTAAAGAATAGATTCTATATTTAAAGATAGGACTGAGTGTTTTTCATCCCTAGATGACAGAAAAATATAATTGAAGTGCAAAGCCACTGGAACATAGGAGTATATATTTGCATAAAATGTTACAAAACTTGTATCTATTTTACATAGAAGCATATTCCCAAAAGCTTTCCTTTTCATAACCCAATTTGTCAAAAGACTGAATGCTGCTGAAGTGAAAAGATTTCCTGGATTATCATTGTCCCCTAAAGCAAATTCTCTACATGTGTCTTTAGTTTCTGAATGGAATTGCCATCACAAGTTTTGGTAAAGATATAACCAGTTTTGGATTTTAGCACTGAGAAATCTGTCAGGCTGAGTGTGCGTTGTCAGATCTCAAAATGGAATTTCACTTGTTTCTGTGCTTGAAATCGGTCCAATGTGGACAGGAGTGCCAAGTACAAACACCAAAGACAATAATCCCAGTTAAGCAAGATTAGATCTAGGAAACAGGGGAGCGCACACCTATGTTGTTTTAGTCATTAATTTGTGGCCTGAAACAGAATAATCTATTGTCATATGATACAGTTCAGTCAGGAACCAAAAACCCTTGAGCATGAAAGACCCAGATTTTTCAAATCAGTCTTCCAATAAGTCTTTGCCATTCCTACAATTCAGGTGTCTGCTGTTCGTCCCACCAAAATCACAGCTTCGAACCTTGAGAAGTTCTTTAAAAAAACCCTACAAACAAAGCAACCAAACCTGAGCCTCCCTCGTGTATCATGCCTATGTTGTTCTCATTTCCGCATTGCAATGTTTCTTTTGCTAAGAGGTTTCTCAGCTTTCAGCTGCCCTCATTGCTTTCACAGGCAGTGCTGTACAACGACCGCTCCGTCCTGGAGAACCACCACGCCGCTGCTGCCTGGAACCTTTTCATGTCAAGGCCAGAGTACAACTTCCTGGTCAACCTCGACCATGTGGAGTTCAAGCATTTCCGCTTCCTCGTCATTGAGGCAATTTTGGCTACTGACCTGAAGAAACACTTTGATTTTGTTGCCAAATTCAATGCCAAGGTATGAAGATTGGTTCAGGTTTCTGGTGGATGGTCAGAAAAGATTGTGAGTCTTGGTAGCGTCACAGTCAAGAGGCTAGGAAGGTTGTTGTATTACTCTTTCTTCTTGATATCCTTTTGGATAGCATTCTGTTGAGGAGTAAACTGGCACTTCTGGAATTTTTTTACTTAATTAAATTCAGTGGGACAGCTTTGTTTTCTTAAATATTTAGTTTTTTCAGATAGTGGTTTAAGGCGGGACTATTTGAAAGTAAACCCCACTTACACTGTTTTCCAACATGCTTTCTCATTCAATGACACTTGGAGAGAAAAATTAAAGCTGTCACTACGTTTCCATAATGGCTAAATACTTAATGTGAACTTTTTTGGTTTAATTGTACTGTTATATTATCAAAAAACAGAAATCATAACAATTTTTAAATTTTTATTTCAAATGCAATGAAAGCATGGTCTTTCTTTCCTACTCTATTTCAAATTAGTAAACCCTAGGGAAGGTCACTAAAGATCTTTCCTGCACACTCCATTCAGTGAGTATAAAATCAAAATGCTACAAAATCATTCTTTAAAAATATTGTAGAATTTCAACCTAACTTACTGGAAATTACTGTCTGTCAAGTTACTTTAATAAACTCCCATCGTCCATCAAAGCTGTTGGCATGTTACCTAGATGTTACGTACCTTTGGAGCTGGTCCTGCATTTTTTCTTCCTTGTGGGAGACACACCAACTGTGGTAATGTTTCTCATGTGGGACTATGACCTCCAAGCTGTTTTGGTGGCATAGATAAAATGTTTTCTTGTAGTATTGCAGAGGATGGACCTGTATCCTGAAATTTTGAAGCTTCCAGATACCTGACAGGTTTTGTTTTCCATTTCCTTGTCTCTCCCTGTTAGGCTTTAAGAAGCTGTAAAGAAAGGCCTTAAATGGTGGAGGGTAGACATAGAAGTGATCTATAGATCCTTAAAAGTTTGAATTCCTTCTACACCCCTGCTAGTCATGTCCCAAAACCTCCTGTAGTACCAGAAGGATTTCTTTAGGTCTTAATTTTGAACTCTGGGATCCTTTTCACTGGCCTAATTTCTTTGTAAAGTTTGGAACAATATTGGCAGATTCTCATCTGTCAGGGCTACAATGACAATAAAGCACAGGGAATTTATGCTGTTTGAACTCATCCTTTGAATTTGACAGTTTGAACCAAAACCTTCACTTCTTTGAACATAAGGAATGAGACAAACTCAGCCAGTAATTGCTGTGGCTTTATTGCAGAGATTAACTGTCATAACTGTGGAAGAGGACAAGCTTGACCAAAGTACTAGATGTAAACTGCAGATATTGAAAACTAAATTTGTCTTAAAATCTATTAGGCTGGGCAACAGTAGGTGTAACCACTATGGTAACTGAGACTCTGCAGATTAGGAGGAGAACCATCTGATGTATCACGTTCTGCCAGCCCGCTGTAGTTTTGTAAGGGCATTAACCTCCTTCTCTCTTCTTACTCCTTGAATAGTCGAATGGTCATGCATGGAATAAAAAGTGGAGTGGAACATACCAATCAGTGCTTGTCCCAGACTAATCACTGCCTTAAAAAGAGTAATTTGTGTTTGATTGGCAAAAACTATTTTATACTGGAGGGGTCTCAACAGATGTAGCATGTTTGTATATGGGTGGGGGTGATGCAGAAGCATCTTTCAAACAGCCACAACATTTCCTAAATACTAATTTGTCATAATTTGTCTCAGTGTTAATGGTTTTTTATATCTTTTTCTTTTAGCATATTGCTCTACAGCTGATAGTAAATTCCAGCCTTGGGTTAGCTTGTCTGCTTAGACTTGTAATTTTGTCAAATGGCAAAATATGCTGTAAGATATCCCAGGGCAGAACTTTCTCTGTGAATGCATCCTTTTGTTCAGGATTACTGTCATTATTTTCCTTTTTCTGTTTACTAGGTGAATGATGATGTTGGAATTGACTGGACTAATGAGAACGACCGCTTACTGGTTTGCCAAATGTGCATCAAACTGGCTGACATAAATGGGCCTGCAAAGTGCAAAGACTTGCACCTGCAGTGGACAGAAGGCATCGTCAATGAGTTTTACGAACAGGTAAATAAATGCATGTCTGAAGTGGTATCTGCTGGTTGCAAGTCCTGCAGCATTCTAGTGCTGGTGATGAGGGAAAATCACAGAGAGCAGGGGCGAAGGGGGATGGCTAGGGTTTCACCAATCCACCCTCTTGCTAGATCAGTAAAAGTCCATTTGTTATTGAAGCTTCTGATGTGTCCTCAAAGACCTCTGATGATGGGGTTTCTGCAGGCTTAACTGTTCCAGTCTGCCAGTTCCTTATAGTAAACAAGTGTTCCTTTCCTCTTTTTTCTGTTGGCTGTTGTCGTGTCTCCCTTTTAGTCTTCTTCAGTGCAAACTGTCTTTTCAGCCTTCCTTCTGTGTCTTTTGAAAACAACAGCTTGTTTTCATTGCTCTCCTCTACATTTTCTCCAGGTGGCACACACTTCTGTTGACATGTGGTCTCCAAAACTGGACACAACATCCTTGTTGAGATGATCTAAACAGAGCAATGGAATTATTTTAGCTTCCCTCTTCGCCATGTCTTTGACTGCACAGAACCTCTATGTACTGAGCATTGACTTTCAGTTTCTCACAGACAAAACAAATCTGCTCCCTAC